AAATAATTAATCTTAATAAAGGGCCAAGATGCAGCTAGGGTGAGTTTGAAAAGCAACCTAAAAAACACCTAAAAAGCAAGTTAAGATTCACTTTCCAGTGTCAGTGTCAATATACACAGTATAATTAACACTGTATTATTACCAAATAGCATTTACAAACATGAAATCACCAGGCAGGAAATTCATGAGACACAGTGGTAAGGTTCTGCTAGCGTGCTTCTCAGCATCTCTTGCTGAGTTAAGGTAAAAGACATCACTGCAAATAAAAGTCCGCATCCTATTTTGAAATTCATCACACGTTCTACCACCATTTCTCTAGGGTTCTCAAACATTGACATTTCTGCGTGTAAAAAAAAAAATAAATAATTTAAGAAAAAAAAAACTATTAAAAAAGACTTTACAAAGTGCATGGACCAGCTCTCAGGAGATGGTTATTTCTGTCACCGTTGCAAGAGGCTGAAAATCAATACCGTATGTTAGGGAAGTAAAATTTCATTTTTTACCTTGTATGGATGAAAAGAAGGGGGGCTATCACTTAACTGCTGCATGCTGCCTCCTTCCAGATACTGGAGATCGATGTTCAGGTAGAACACTCTAGTGTGGGTTGCTGAACTGAATGGGGGGGATGAAGGGAAGAGAGACCCTTGCAAAGATGCAGGTACAACTCTTACTATCTTGTGTGAGTACACAAACCAGATGGCTGTGAAAAGAAGACACTGAGCTCTTTTTCGAAGGTGTAGGAGATCCAAACAGTCTTCACTGACTCTACAGAGCAAACTGCAAACTTTACATGCCCAAAGCCGGGCAATGTGCATACCCCTCAAGAAGCCAAAATTATGCCAGTCTAAATGCAACCCTCTTGTTATCTCTCCTTATCAATTAGTACCAGTGGATTGGATGCTCAACGGCTGCTCTGCTGTTATAGTTCAGTCAATATTTTACAGAATAAAACTTAGAATTGCACATGGCAGGGCCTAAAGAGGCAGGAAAAGAAAAATAAAAAAATAATACAGAAAAATACTTTTTTCATTGTACCTTAGCATAATCTGCATTGGAAAAGACCCAGAAGAATAAGCTTCCAGTCTAATGAACCATGATCCAAACGTACTCACCATCCCAACGCCCTCTCTCTTAAACCATCTGCTAAAGCATCCAGCTGGGAAAGAAAGATCAAAATGTGGCATCTAAAAGGCATTCAAGGAAGGCAGTGGCACTTGGATTAGCACAGGAAGATGGCAACAGTGTCCCTCAGATTCTTTGCAGCTTTCCTCCCACCCTGGCTTAAATGTAACAGGGTGGAGGAGATGGGGAGGCCATTTCAAACCTGGTTTGGCCTGCTTTGGGCATGTAAGCAAGAATATCAACATTTAGAAGCTTGAAGTCCCCAAATAGCTGGTAAACTGAGCAGAAAAACTTCCAGAGAGCAGCTCTGGATACCAAAGTCTGATGGTAGGGCTTGGAGAACCCTCAGCATCAGCTCTTTTTGATGGATACTTGCAATAACCATACTGTCTAAAGATTTATTTACCAGCCCTACTTGATGTTTTACAGCAAAAGTTGCACTTTTATTCTTCTTTAATGGGTCAAACCCTCAATATCTAATCACAAGGGGGGAAAAAGATAGTGATGAAAGCCCTGTAGTTACCTTCCTAGAAAAATATGTATCAGAGTAAAATGCATCATGTAATACACTTTCAAAAACCACTGTAGAGAAGATTTCTTCTCCACTGACGCATCTTCAGTTACTCAAGACTGTGTGGAGAAATACTTTTGAAACACCAGCTCTGCTGTGCCAAATTACTCAGGACAGGAGTCTGTGAATCAATGTAAAATTGTGGCTGTTTTCTCCTAAAAATTAGGCTTGACTAAACTATTCATGCACCTTCAATACCACAAACATACATACAAAAAGAAGGTTTTTGCCTAATTCCTGGCTTTTTGTCTTTTTGTTCAGCCTGGTAACACACAGTACGTGATGACGCACAATTATAGGCAATTAATTCAAATATCTCGGAAACAAGAAATCACATCTGCAGTTAATCATCTTGTGCTTTTTTCCAAACCATAAATCATTTTTGTAGAGGAAGAGAACAGAGATATAAGAGATACAATTAAATGTGACATTTTCCACAAATCAAACGCTTCCTACAAATGTGCCGATAACGTGACAGACCAGCAAAGCTTTCCAAATTGCTCGAGTGTTTACACGATGCTCATCATCTCTCCAAGGCTTATTTGAGGCAGAGTATGATATCTACTATACGCTACCATCATGCAGAATTGTCACTGCTAATCTAGGAGGAAATTTCACTGTACTACTCCAAATCCCATCAACCGCAAGCACCGCTGTCTCGGCCAAAATTACTTCCAGATGAAATTGGTCCTTTCATATGCTGAACTGCAGCTGACACCCACATTCACCGCCCGGTCTATACTTTCAGGTGCAGGCTCAGAGTCACATTTTGGCCCTTTGGATGGAAAAAGAACTGAAACCCCACGTATGAGTGAGGTGACGATTCCCAGAGGAGTCCATCTATCACAAATTCTACTATAGGACCAAAATGGGCAGAAGATGAAGTGGTGAAGCACAGACTTTTTCCTTTCAAAGCAAAACTTGATACAGCCAAAAGGTTAATGCTTAGAAGATTAGAAAATACCATTCAAAATTTAGACAAACTCTTGTACTTCACATAAAAACAAAAGACTTAGTTAAGTTCAAAACCAGTTTAAGCTTTTCAATTTGGCAAGAGAAAAAGCTTCCCATTTGGGGGGCCAACATAGCAGAAATTTTGTATTCTTTTTATTTTCCCAGTTTTACCATCAAAATGAAACAAAACCAAAACATCCGACTGTCCGCTGTTCTTCTATAGCTCTATCTGGGTCTTTTCCTTGAAGAATCCTTTTCTTTAGATTTAACAAGCTTTATCTCTTTGAAACAACTTCCAGCAAGCAGAAAAATCAAGCTTGTGCCTCCATCTCAATATAATATTATTATTTGCAAAATAAATGCAGGTTTGCAATACAAACGACCAAGACAACTCACACTGTTTCTGTTAAAGAGAGGTAGTTTAGGTGCCAAAAGCTAGGTTTGGTTTCAGTTTGGAGGGTGTTGATACCAAAAAAACCCCAAAAAAGGTAACACTTAAAGAAAGACTATTATGATTAGAAAAAGGTCATAAAAGATATGTGCTTGATATTTGTGCTCTAATTTGGCAGTTCACAGCATCTGTGGCATAAAATGAAAAGCCACCTTAAACTAGACCAGACTTTCACTGCCCAATTTGAGCAGGACTTCAGGAAAAAAGATGAACAATAAATAAAGAAGAACTATTAAGTCAGTTTTCTTGAGCAACTGCTGACTTTTGGTTCCCAACCTGAGACTCTCTAAGGGAATTTTATTTTCAAGATGACTCAGTAATTTCTGAAAATTGGGGGTCTCAAACTGGGCAAGCAGTACCTCCAATGACTTTTTCGAGTCATATCATAACTTTAATAGGAAACTATTAATAATAAAACAAATTGTTTTATTAAAACAAATATTATATTTTTAACAAAAATAAATATTTTTTTAATCTAATGGTATTAGGATTTTAAAAGACTGCCTGTAAACTTCCCTCAATTTCAAGCCACTCAAACCAAACCAGCATAAAATATCTTCAAAATAAAAGAAATGGACATTAAATTTTAAGGTTTTGGATTTAGGTCTAAATACATGTACATAATTGTACACTAGGACAGCTACAGATGTCAAAATTTTCAGCTGTAGTTACTTAGCTATCTGTTCATATTCTGTTCAATCTAGAATTCTTGCAATTTCTGGATTGTGAAGAATGACATTTGTAGCTCTCAAACAAGTTAGATTTTATGGTCTTTATTCTTCACAGAAATTGTGAATACTCATGTTTTGACCTACAGGGAAAAATACGTTTTTTGAATGTTTGGGTTTTTCCATTAACTTATGTAAGGAATAGGTTTGAATTTGTTTTCTTAGTACTAATACTACATTGCTTCCAAAAATAAAACAATTGGAGGAAAAAAAATTTAAAAGTAAGAACACAGATGAATAGATGAATCTAGATGAATTTACCAGTTCAAACAGGAATTGAGTTTCTAATTCTGGAAAATTCAGAAGAAATGTTGTTCAGTCAGTTTACTGACCTTCCTTTGTCTTATACGCTGAGCAATCACATGCCATCCAATTCCATTATTATCCAGTCTTGCAAGCAGACATGTGCTGTTCTTAAAAAAAAGATTATAATCCTATGTCCTTATGGTGGGAGTAGCCCACAACAACTATTCAAAACAGTTGCTCTTCACATATGACCTGTATGAGTCCCCAGATGATGCAGAGTCTAAGGAGGCGTAAAATCACTTTAGGAAACCAAATGGCAAAATTACTGTTGAACAATTGTCACAGTTAATAAGATTAATGATTGAACTGGCCAAAACCCACTGTTATTATTAAATACACTGCTATCTCCCAGGGGGAGTTCAGGAGAAAAAAGTCCTACTCTGGTTAATAATTAACGTGTGTGGGCACGCCTGAATGGGATCCCAGCCCCTTCCAAGACAACTCCACAGCTGTGCAAATCATTCTGGCATGTGCTTTAATCACAATCACTTTACTACACAAACACAGTATGTGTCTCATCTCAGCAACTCATCAGATGTGGACAGGCACGTGAACGTATTCCCTCTGTTCAATAACATCAGCTCTTGGCTAGAGCTGTCATCTGAATGAAAAACACATTGATACCATGTAGTTCTGGAAACTGGAGATTTGTTAACAATTTATTTTCATTAGAGGCTCTTTGATTATGTTGAACCAAGTCTGCCTTTTATACAGTGCGTTAAAATAACCCAGGGAATGCCAGAACACCAGCTCTGTACACCAGCTCACCTGCTGCCTGTTTCTGGTGCGCAGCACAGTGCATTGGCCTTCCTTGGTGAGCTGCTTGGTCCCAAGCCTGCCACCCTAGCGCAGCACAGTGCATTGGCCTTCCTTGGTGGGCAGCTTGGTCCCCCTGTAACCTGCCACCCTGCACATGGCACAGCCCACCAAGCAAACGTGATAAAGAAACATTATTTGTTATCCTTCATAACATTATGGCTTTTTCTCTTTCAAATACCAAAGCACAGACTCACTCTGCATCTATTTGTACTGTATCACTGCTGTCTTCTAGGCCATCTTTGACGCAGATGGAGATATGTAAACCAGGCATTACTTACTAAATGGCTAATTTGCTCACTCTGTGCACCCCGCTTAACCCCCATGCAGAGGCTTTCATCAACTGCACACCGGTCACTAGAAAGGACAGAGAAAGCCAGTCCAACCTCTGTACAAGGTCAAATTCTCACTGGCTTCAGGAGAAACACAATCCATACAAGAACCTTGGGTTAAAAACGTGCACGTGAAAGTGTGGAATGCATTAAAGTCTCACTTGGAGCCTTAAAATCCAAGGCAAAGAGTACAACCCTTTCCCACTTCCAAATGGGCAAAGTGGCAAGAGCCGGAACACCACTGAAGTCAGAAGTACCTGTGGTACCCCTCAGTAGTTAAAGTCTTTCAGAGTCTGCGTTTTCCCATGCTGGATCTCAGCATTAATATCCCCTCCACAGGAGCTCCAGGACTGTCAATCATCTTCTGCCAGAGGTGCTGCTCTTCTCCTTGAGAGTCCATCCAGTCAACCTCCTTGCCATTACTTATACCTGGTAATTGCAAAAACATGAGGTGTTTTGACATATTAGTAAGTAGTTACTCAAACTTTCTCATGTGCCCAACGTTCTATAGAAAGACAACAAGCACTTGACACTACCCACCAGTACAGGGAGTTATACTGAAAACAGGTAGCTCCTGGAGAGCACCAATTTGTCATTATGCTCCTTTGTGGCACATGGTACAGAAATCTCCTCCCTCTGCACCACAAGCAACTTTCTCCTAACAGAGGAGGAACAGATTGACACCTCTTCCGGAGCACACCATCGCCAGCAGAAAGGCTGCTATTGGACAAAAGTAGTCTTGTCTTCCTCACTGGAAGGCTAAGAAATGCTTCCAAGTAATTCCCAGTTCTTCTAGACTTTGCTAAAGTACAACTGGGCACCAAATTTTTGTGTCTCTCTCAATGGTGGAAAGAACTAAACCATCTACATATTACACGGTGCCTTCTCTCCCTTTTCAATTTCCCCAAGTTCCCATAAACTTTCCATACATTCTGTAACATTTCTGTCCCTCATACTCATGAATCGCTTGCAGTGAGGAAGAAGGAGAGCAGAATAAGAAAAACAAACATGAGTCAGATGGGACCTTACCATTTCCAGTGCTCAAACGAACACCTCCCAAAAAAATATTACTGGAGAGTGACTCCTTGTCCCACACAGTCAGTTCTAGACAGACATTACGTATATCCCTTGCATTCAAGCCACCAAAAGCAAAGGTATGATTCCACTGGGGGTTCACACTCTTTTTTATTATGGGAGTTTTGTGTTTTGTAGCTTTGCTGTCATCTGGGAGAAGATATCTGGGAGATATGAAAAAGAAAATTGAATACGTAGCTGGAATGTCACATAATATTCACAAAGAATTAGAATTACGTAGAGGCTCAAACAGGATCAGAACCCTATTTCCCCACTGTTATTAAATTAAGCATATACCTAAATTTCATAGTTTGCACTTGTGCTCCATTAGTTCTTATAGTTACAATGTCAGTTATCACCAGCAGAAACTAAAATTAGGTCTCCTTACTCCAAGCCTTCAGTCTTAACCACAAACTTTTTCTTTCAGTGAGACTAAATGTAGACAGGATCATAAAAATGTTGGCTAGAAATTGCCTCTGGAATCACATAGTCCAGTCTCGCTCTCAAAGCAGGAGACAGGAGGTCCTCCAGAAAGCAATGGACATGACTGATAAGGAAGGAACTTATTATTCATTTGAGTTGCCTAACGCCCCTAATGACTGCAGAAGCACTAATGCTGTAAAGTCTGACAAGCTTTTCACATTTTACTTTTAGTGGAGAATTCTTTTAGTGAAACTAAGTGGACTTAATACTCTTGTTTCAAAATCAGAGGTCTGTACAAATTTCCTTAGTCTGTACCTTCACCTCCTCCAGCAAAGCTAATGGAATAACTTTGTGGTTGTACGTGAATACTAAAGTCAGACATACAAACAAATCATAAGACTAGACATTAACACTAGATCTCTGTGCAGGCTTTTACTTGACAATAAACATGAGCTATTTTACTGCAGTGGGCTAACCTATGGCAAATTATCTCAAGCTTACAGTGCAGAGTAGACCACTGCAGCCCCTCAATTGGTTCATGGCAACTTGATAATGCATTTAGCCATGACATATGACAGATCAACAGTCCAAGGAACACAGACTCCTGTTCCACTGTACTGAATAATCCACGTCAGCAACGGCAGACAACACTGATTAAAGACAGTCTGGAGAATTATCGGCCATGCATTGCTACTGCTAATGCAAAAAGGCTTTGACAACGTTTTCTCCTTGAAGTCTGTTGCAAGCTCCAGTAGGATCAGTCTATTTTCAGTAAAAGGAAATGCCCTCACACATAGCAGGAAAAGAGAGATGGCATGGGAGAACAAATACACAGGAAGAACAGCTCAAACTTTTTCTGCATGTAGTGTCTAAGGTTGGTGATAGTTTGAAGCACACTACAAAATCAAGATAAATTCTCAGCTCCACCAAGGAATTAAAGGCAGGGTATTTTCTACAGTCACCGTTTAGTAATAACACTCAAACTATTACTAACGAACTACAGCACAGGACTGTCAATCATCTTCTGCCAGAGGTGCTGCTCTTCTCCTTGAGAGTCCATCCAGTCAACCTCCTTGCCATTACTTATACCTGGTAATTGCAAAAACATGAGGTGTTTTGACATATTAGTAAGTAGTTACTCAAACTTTCTCATGTGCCCAACGTTCTATAGAAAGACAACAAGCACTTGACACTACCCACCAGTACAGGGAGTTATACTGAAAACAGGTAGCTCCTGGAGAGCACCAATTTGTCATTATGCTCCTTTGTGGCACATGGTACAGAAATCTCCTCCCTCTGCACCACAAGCAACTTTCTCCTAACAGAGGAGGAACAGATTGACACCTCTTCCGGAGCACACCATCGCCAGCAGAAAGGCTGCTATTGGACAAAAGTAGTCTTGTCTTCCTCACTGGAAGGCTAAGAAATGCTTCCAAGTAATTCCCAGTTCTTCTAGACTTTGCTAAAGTACAACTGGGCACCAAATTTTTGTGTCTCTCTCAATGGTGGAAAGAACTAAACCATCTACATATTACACGGTGCCTTCTCTCCCTTTTCAATTTCCCCAAGTTCCCATAAACTTTCCATACATTCTGTAACATTTCTGTCCCTCATACTCATGAATCGCTTGCAGTGAGGAAGAAGGAGAGCAGAATAAGAAAAACAAACATGAGTCAGATGGGACCTTACCATTTCCAGTGCTCAAACGAACACCTCCCAAAAAAATATTACTGGAGAGTGACTCCTTGTCCCACACAGTCAGTTCTAGACAGACATTACGTATATCCCTTGCATTCAAGCCACCAAAAGCAAAGGTATGATTCCACTGGGGGTTCACACTCTTTTTTATTATGGGAGTTTTGTGTTTTGTAGCTTTGCTGTCATCTGGGAGAAGATATCTGGGAGATATGAAAAAGAAAATTGAATACGTAGCTGGAATGTCACATAATATTCACAAAGAATTAGAATTACGTAGAGGCTCAAACAGGATCAGAACCCTATTTCCCCACTGTTATTAAATTAAGCATATACCTAAATTTCATAGTTTGCACTTGTGCTCCATTAGTTCTTATAGTTACAATGTCAGTTATCACCAGCAGAAACTAAAATTAGGTCTCCTTACTCCAAGCCTTCAGTCTTAACCACAAACTTTTTCTTTCAGTGAGACTAAATGTAGACAGGATCATAAAAATGTTGGCTAGAAATTGCCTCTGGAATCACATAGTCCAGTCTCGCTCTCAAAGCAGGAGACAGGAGGTCCTCCAGAAAGCAATGGACATGACTGATAAGGAAGGAACTTATTATTCATTTGAGTTGCCTAACGCCCCTAATGACTGCAGAAGCACTAATGCTGTAAAGTCTGACAAGCTTTTCACATTTTACTTTTAGTGGAGAATTCTTTTAGTGAAACTAAGTGGACTTAATACTCTTGTTTCAAAATCAGAGGTCTGTACAAATTTCCTTAGTCTGTACCTTCACCTCCTCCAGCAAAGCTAATGGAATAACTTTGTGGTTGTACGTGAATACTAAAGTCAGACATACAAACAAATCATAAGACTAGACATTAACACTAGATCTCTGTGCAGGCTTTTACTTGACAATAAACATGAGCTATTTTACTGCAGTGGGCTAACCTATGGCAAATTATCTCAAGCTTACAGTGCAGAGTAGACCACTGCAGCCCCTCAATTGGTTCATGGCAACTTGATAATGCATTTAGCCATGACATATGACAGATCAACAGTCCAAGGAACACAGACTCCTGTTCCACTGTACTGAATAATCCACGTCAGCAACGGCAGACAACACTGATTAAAGACAGTCTGGAGAATTATCGGCCATGCATTGCTACTGCTAATGCAAAAAGGCTTTGACAACGTTTTCTCCTTGAAGTCTGTTGCAAGCTCCAGTAGGATCAGTCTATTTTCAGTAAAAGGAAATGCCCTCACACATAGCAGGAAAAGAGAGATGGCATGGGAGAACAAATACACAGGAAGAACAGCTCAAACTTTTTCTGCATGTAGTGTCTAAGGTTGGTGATAGTTTGAAGCACACTACAAAATCAAGATAAATTCTCAGCTCCACCAAGGAATTAAAGGCAGGGTATTTTCTACAGTCACCGTTTAGTAATAACACTCAAACTATTACTAACGAACTACAGCATGTCCAAAAAAATCAGCAATTCTGACAGCTAGTATTGAAAGCAAAAACTGGCAAAGAAAAATGTTTTAAGCTATCCATTATTTCCAAAATTTGACATTTCAAAAGCATAACTTACATTTATGAAAAATCCAATATAATGAGGCACGGGGGGTATGGTCATTTTATTCAAACACAAGTATACCCTATATGTAGCATTTTCTATATAGTCTGGATTTTTACTATCCAACACAAAATATTGCTTATATAATAAAAAGGTACATATATGTCATACTAAATATATTTTTACATACCCAAATGCATATAGGCATATAAGTGACACAGACAGTGTGAGTGCCCTTTACAACTTCTTGCCTCCAGCAGAGATGAATAAGTCTTTCTCTACTGATTCAGTAGAACCTAACTTTATATTCTACATGCATGCACATTAGCACAGCGGATACTTATGTAGAATCATAGAATCATATGGGTTTGGAAGGGACCTCTGGAGATCATCTAGTCCAACCCCCCCGGCAGAGCGGGTCGACATAGAGCAGGCTGCGCAGGAACTTGTCCAGGCAGGTTTTGAATGTCTCCAGAGAAGGAGACCCACCACCTCTCTGGGTGGCTTGTTCCAGTGCTCTACCACTCTCACAGTAAAGAAGTTCCTCACATTTAGGTGGAACTTCTTATAGGCAAGTCTGTGCCCATTTCCTCTTGTTCTGTCACTGGGCACCATGGAACAAAGGCTGGCCATGTCATCCTGACTCCCTCCTTTGAAGTGTTTGCTTGCATTGATTAAATCCCCCCTAAGTCTTCTCTTCTCCAGACTAAAAAGACCCAAGTCCCCCAGCCTCTCCTCGTAAGGGAGATGCTCCAGGTCCCTAATCATCTTCGTGGTCCTTTGCTGTACCTTCTCCAGCAGTTCCCCATCCTTATTGAACTGGAACTGGACACACTACTCCAGATGGGGCCTCACCAGGGCAGAGTAGAGGGGGAGGATAACCTCCCTCGGCCTGCTGGCCGCACTCTTCTTGATGCACCCCAGGATGCCATTTGACTACTTGGCCACAAGGGCACATTGCTGCCTCAGGATCATCCTGCTGTCCACCAGGACTCACAGGTCTTTTTTCTCAGAGGTGCTCTCCAGCAGGTCAGCCCCCAACCTGTACTGGTGCGGGGGATTATTTCTCCCCAGGTGCAGCACCCTACACTTGCCCTTGTTGAATTTCATTGGGTTTCTCTCTGCCCAACTGTCCAGCCTGTCCAGGTCTCGCTGTATGGCCGCACAGCCTTCTGGGGTGTCAGCAACCCCTCCTAGTTTTGTATCATCAGCAAACTTGCTGAAGGTACATTCCATCCTTTTGTGCAGGTCATTGAATATATTGAAGAGGACTGGACTCAGTACTGACCCCCGGGGAACACCACTTGTTACAGACTTCCAGCTGGATTCCAGCCCCTAACCACGACTCTCTAAGCTCTGTCTTTCAGCCAGTTTTCAGTCCACTTCACTGTCCATTCATCTAACCCACACTTCCTAAGCTTAGCTATGAGGATGCTGTGGGAGACGGTGTCAAAAGGCTTGCTGAAGTCAAGGTAGACAACATCCACCACCCTCTTCTCATCTATCCAACCAGTCATGCCATCATAGAAAGCTATGAGGTTAGTCTGACATGACCTCCCCTTGGTAAATCCATGTTGACTACTTCTGATACCTTTATTTTCCTCCATATGCTTTGAGATGACACCCAGGATGAGCTGTTCCATCACCCTTCCAGGGATGGAGGTGAGGCTGACTGGCCCATAGTTTCCCGGGTCCTCCTTCTTGCCCTTTTTGAAGACTGGAGTGACATTGGCTTTTCTCCAGTCCTTGGGCACCTCGCCTGTTCTCCAGGACCTCTCAGAAATGATGGAGAGTGGCCCTGCAATGACTTCTGCCAGCTCCCTCAGCACTCTCAGGTGTTTCCCATCTGGACCCATGGATTTGCGAAAATCCAGCCTTCTTAACTGTTCTCTAACTTGGTCTTCCTCCACCAAGGGAAGATCTTCCTTTTCCAAATTCTCTTTGATTCCTCCAAAGTCCATGGCTCCTGGGGGCTGGCCTGAGCAGTAAAGGCTGAGGCAAAGAAGGCATTCAGCAACTTTACCTTCCCAGCATCCTCTGTTATTGAAAGCAAAAACTGGCAAAGAAAAATGTTTTAAGCTATCCATTATTTCCAAAATTTGACATTTCAAAAGCATAACTTACATTTATGAAAAATCCAATATAATGAGGCACGGGGGGTATGGTCATTTTATTCAAACACAAGTATACCCTATATGTAGCATTTTCTATATAGTCTGGATTTTTACTATCCAACACAAAATATTGCTTATATAATAAAAAGGTACATATATGTCATACTAAATATATTTTTACATACCCAAATGCATATAGGCATATAAGTGACACAGACAGTGTGAGTGCCCTTTACAACTTCTTGCCTCCAGCAGAGATGAATAAGTCTTTCTCTACTGATTCAGTAGAACCTAACTTTATATTCTACATGCATGCACATTAGCACAGCGGATACTTATGTAGAATCATAGAATCATATGGGTTTGGAAGGGACCTCTGGAGATCATCTAGTCCAACCCCCCTGCCAAAGCGGGTCCACATAGAGCAGGCTGCGCAGGAACTTGTCCAGGCAGGTTTTGAATGTCTCCAGAGAAGGAGACCCACCACCTCTCTGGGTGGCTTGTTCCAGTGCTCTACCACTCTCACAGTAAAGAAGTTCCTCACATTTAGGTGGAACTTCTTATAGGCAAGTCTGTGCCCATTTCCTCTTGTTCTGTCACTGGGCACCATGGAAAAAAGGCTGGCCCTGTCCTCCTGACACCCTCCCTTTAAGTGTTTGCTTGCATTGATTAAATCCCCCCTAAGTCTTCTCTTCTCCAGACTAAAAAGACCCAAGTCCCCCAGCCTCTCCTCGTAAGGGAGATGCTCCAGGTCCCTAATCATCTTCGTGGTCCTTTGCTGTACCTTCTCCAGCAGTTCCCCATCCTTATTGAACTGGAACTGGACACACTACTCCAGATGGGGCCTCACCAGGGCAGAGTAGAGGGGGAGGATAACCTCCCTCGGCCTGCTGGCCGCACTCTTCTTGATGCACCCCAGGATGCCATTTGACTACTTGGCCACAAGGGCACATTGCTGCCTCAGGATCATCCTGCTGTCCACCAGGACTCACAGGTCTTTTTTCTCAGAGGTGCTCTCCAGCAGGTCAGCCCCCAACCTGTACTGGTGCGGGGGATTATTTCTCCCCAGGTGCAGCACCCTACACTTGCCCTTGTTGAATTTCATTGGGTTTCTCTCTGCCCAACTGTCCAGCCTGTCCAGGTCTCGCTGTATGGCCGCACAGCCTTCTGGGGTGTCAGCAACCCCTCCTAGTTTTGTATCATCAGCAAACTTGCTGAAGGTACATTCCATCCTTTTGTGCAGGTCATTGAATATATTGAAGAGGACTGGACTCAGTACTGACCCCCGGGGAACACCACTTGTTACAGACTTCCAGCTGGATTCCAGCCCCTAACCACGACTCTCTAAGCTCTGTCTTTCAGCCAGTTTTCAGTCCACTTCACTGTCCATTCATCTAACCCACACTTCCTAAGCTTAGCTATGAGGATGCTGTGGGAGACGGTGTCAAAAGGCTTGCTGAAGTCAAGGTAGACAACATCCACCACCCTCTTCTCATCTATCCAACCAGTCATGCCATCATAGAAAGCTATGAGGTTAGTCTGACATGACCTCCCCTTGGTAAATCCATGTTGACTACTTCTGATACCTTTATTTTCCTCCATATGCTTTGAGATGACACCCAGGATGAGCTGTTCCATCACCCTTCCAGGGATGGAGGTGAGGCTGACTGGCCCATAGTTTCCCGGGTCCTCCTTCTTGCCCTTTTTGAAGACTGGAGTGACATTGGCTTTTCTCCAGTCCTTGGGCACCTCGCCTGTTCTCCAGGACCTCTCAGAAATGATGGAGAGTGGCCCTGCAATGACTTCTGCCAGCTCCCTCAGCACTCTCAGGTGTTTCCCATCTGGACCCATGGATTTGCGAAAATCCAGCCTTCTTAACTGTTCTCTAACTTGGTCTTCCTCCACCAAGGGAAGATCTTCCTTTTCCAAATTCTCTTTGATTCCTCCAAAGTCCATGGCTCCTGGGGGCTGGCCTGAGCAGTAAAGGCTGAGGCAAAGAAGGCATTCAGCAACTTTACCTTCCCAGCATCCTCTGTTACTATGGCACCTGACTCATTCAACAGCTGGCCCACATTTTCTTTAGTTTTCCTTTTGCCTCCAATATAATTGAAAAACCCCTTCTTGTTGACTTTGACATCTCTTGCCCATTTTAATTCCAAGGAGGCCTTGGCTTTCCTTGTTTCTTCCCTACATAGTCTAACAGCATCCTTGTAATCTTCCCAAGTGGAATGTATGAATGGTTCTTGTCCTTGACTGAGTAGTATTTAAATATGGTTGTATTTAACTACTGGGACAATTCGTACTTCTCTACCCTTATCCTGCAGCATCCTTCTCTTCATCATACCATTTTGAGGTGTCAGTTGCTTTTCAGGACTGACACTCCATACACATATATATTGAAAAAAATTTGGTCAGCCAAAATATGATTGTGTGCAGCCATTAAAAAAATGGGGAGAAACAAACCACAGACCCTTTCACGAAAGTGTCAGATGTGCCTCCTGATTTCACCGCTGTTAAATTCTTTGCTTCTTTGATGAGGACTTCTAATATACCTCCAGATGGCACGGGAGAGTCTCCCTTTTTTCCTTTTTTAAAGCTCTTCTTTCCTATATATAGAACAGAGTTACAATGTCATCATCAGAAATTATATGTACACTACAAGACTGATTTGGAAATTTAAGTCAGCTTGGCTACATTCTTTCACTCATTTCCTGCAATGGGATTAAAATATTTCTTATAAGGAGATTGTGATTCTCTATGGGTAAAGGAACTAGTAAGGCAGGGGCAGAAAAGTGACTCCATATTTGATAAAGAACTTGACTACATAACTAGTCCTTCCTGGACACAACAGGATGCCCTATCTGAAGTTGTTTCCAAATACAAGTGTTTGTGGATCACCATGCTGAACACAAAGAACTGCATGGCCTTGAAGTCCTACCATCTTGTCAGAATCCACTTCCACCACTGATGCTAAGGCAGCCCTATACCACAAGCGAGGTATAAAACCTCTGTCCCAAAGCTTAAAATGCAGAAATACACTGCATGTATTCCATGTGTAAGGATGCAGTGCTCCTCGGAGACTGTGACAAAAGGACACAGCGAGCGCTGACACACTACTGCTTTTGAACAGCAGGGTGAGGACACTTGCACTTGCTACTGCTGCAGATTCTAAGATGCTTATCAGCAGGGAACATACACCCTGACTCAGGCTGAAAACATCAGAAAAAAGATCAGAAAAAATGCATTCGTTAAAGTGCACTAATTTAAAAAAAATGCAGATAGTGTATATCTGGGCTTTTCAGACAACAATTAGCTTTTAAGAGAGAAACCCTTGGTATTACTGCTAGCAAAGGCAATGTCATCTGTCAAAAAAAGAAAGAGAAAAGTCTAATACATCTGTCAAATCCTAATGCTAACAAGCAATTTTGCCACTAAGACAGTGATACACCTGTGTTGGGTATACCCACGTACACTCAGGTGTTACCCAGGGATTGGTTTCACTTCAGATGACTGCTGTTCCTCGTGGAACTACAATGCAAAGAGTTAGTAACTATTTTCCCGTGTTCATTGTTGATGAAAATAATGTCTTACCCTAAAGAATTCAATAATATTTTACAGGACCGAATTCCAGCAGTAATACAGTAGAACCAAGCAGAGGTAAAGCAGTGTGAAAAAAAGAGTGAAAATGAGGAGACAGGTAGACTTAAGGACAATTCAGCATGGAGAACTAAGTGAAGTCTATTACTTTGATCAGCTATACACTGTATATAACTAGCTGAACAAAGATTGAGACAATTTATTTCTATGTGGCTGTCCTTGATCATGTTATCTAATGTCTCTTTTTTTTTTAATTAGGTCATAGCCATGTATCAACACTCAACTGCACACTCCTCTACCCCTCTCTCTTCTTAGGTCCAATGTAAGAGAAGAGGCTGAAGCAGGATTTTTCACACATAAAGACTACCAGTATATTTAAGTATGATTTCAATCTTCACTAATACCATTACTTCACCCTAGGAAAGCATTTTAATACTCAGAAGGATGTAATCATGTGCTGCCATGAATGCTTGTTTTACCTTGAAACTGCTCTAGAGGAAGCATTAGGTTTCTGTCTGGGGGAATATAACGTAAAACAACTGTCAGTTCTCCTTTATATTGAAGCCCAACATCTGTTGCAACCTCCACCTGAAAAGAACAAAACAAACAAGCAGACAGAAATACAGCTTAGGTTAAGCATTCACCTTCTCCTTTTGATTTTAACTTTTTTTTTTGTACCCATACAGTGTTTGAAACACTTCTTAAACATATCAGGACATACTAACCCACTTTCAGATAATTAGACGTTCCAGACTGAGTGCAGTCACATTTCAGAAAACTTGATGAGCTAGGGAATGCAAGCACTAGGGAGAATAAAGCCACTTGGCATTAGACATTCTTGAGTGAACATACACAGGAGAGCGATATCTAGCATGAGTAAGTGAAGCACACAAACAGAAAAAACCTTGAACTTATTTCTGGACATATAAACATTAGTTAATCTAAGCTGACGTGTAGCTCTTATTTCCCCCAGTCAGGATTTTAAACCATAATTGGTTTCATATATTTTAGAAGCGTCACTACTGAGTCACTCATGGAATGGAGATGTGGGGAACCAGGGTGGGGGAAGAGAGCAGAGTCCAGTTCTGAAATAGTAAAACTTTTTGAAAACTGTTACTGCCAGTATCCTTTTCCTTCTCTACACAGCTACTATTTCTTCATCTTTTTGTTTTATAAACGTTTGAATCTTGCCCAGAAAGAATGCATTCAGTACTCTTCAGGCCTTCACTGACATGTGCTGAACTTCCATTCATATTGTAAGTTGGAAACTAAATTTTAAAAACAATAGATGCAACGCAAAGAGAACACAGTGTGTCAGTTCAAACTGACTTATATTAAAATAAAGGGCAGTGAAAAAGAAGTTTTGTACATTTACATTAGAGATCAGGTCTATGAAAAACTTGGGTTTGTGCTAACTTTGCTCAGTGATGCCCAGTTACGGAGGTGGGACTACTCAGAGGCTTGCATTTCTGTACGTGCTTAGGTTTGGGTGCAAATAAACAAATCCTTTGATCCATCATAGTGAAAAAGCACATGTATAAAAAGAGTGCCCTGGAGTGCTAAGACACATCCCCCAAGGTACCGCACAAGCTTCTAGAGAACTGCTTATAGATGAATGTCTGTCTGATCAGTGACCGTATTTCTCCGAGATGTATTCAGCTTGTTTCCTGACTCCCCACAAAGGTTAAAATTCTGTCAAGAGAAAACAGAACCAAAGCCCCCACCAGAAATACATCCAGTGATGTGCACAGTCCACACTGCCTTTATATCATAGACTCCAGGCCAAAGCACTAACCATGTTCAGCGGGGCTAAGGCTGTTTGTACACAAGGATGGGACAGGAAACAAAGCAATTTTAGTGATAATAACATGGCCCTTCTGTGACTTTGAAGCCCTTTTACGGCAATACAGATATTCCTGCAGTGACTCTGAGAAATATGATCCTGTTTCCACCACTGTCTGATGCCAGCTGCTACACCAGAGAACAGAAGAAAACCTGTAGTAAAGCGCTGTGGAGTAATTTGCACAACATCTATATCTTGCCAGTCAGGCATCTCACTTTTAGTCTAAACTATGTAACTTTAGGATCAAGTTTCCCATAAAGGCAACAAGGATTATTTTTTATGTTCTGCTGGTGGACAAGTGATGGCATAAGTTCTTACGTCAGGAACAATTTGTCAGTCTTCTCCCCAAACCCACACATAACATGGCTCTAGACTCTGTCCCCTCTTTAACCACAGAACTATTTTCTCTTCTTTTTCTGATTTAACCACACTTCTCTTGAGAACAGACATTTGATGATCATAGAAGAGACAGGTCTTAAAGTCTCCGACCTTTTTACTAAAGCAGCTAAATGATTCATGACAAAATAAATAAAGTGCTGTAATAAAACCCAGGAAATGTTTCACTGCCATTCCTGTCTCTATCAGGCAGTTCATATGGGAGGACAGCATGTAATTTGAATGTGTATTAACCTGTGCCATTCCTGTCTCTATCAGGCAGTTCATACGGGAGGACAACATGTAATCTGAATGTGTATTAACCTGTGCTTTTTTTTGTTTTCTTTTTTTTTTTTTTTTTTCAAAATGCAGTAATTGATTTTTCAAAAATATTATCCTCTTTGCTGATCAACAATCTCAGCAGCGTTTTAAGTTTAGAAATATTATTTGTAACAACTTAGGAGGCAGACAAGACCAATTCTGTGTTTGCTTTCTTTGGTAAAAAAAGAACTCATTTAAAAATCCTTTTAACGGGTTTGGAAATAATCAGACAACACCTTCCAGCTGGAATGGCTGAAATGCCTAGCGCCTCATTACTTTTTTCCTGAGCAGGAGAGCTTCATGACTGTCTTTTTTCTTTTCCCCGTAAGGATTAAAAGAAACCACCCATATACACACACAAATCCCCAAAGACTGAAATGAGACAACGAAGAGACGACTGCACGATATGAAGCTCAATTTCAGACCAACATTGCATACAAACTGCAAGCAAAACAAGTACTAGATGTGTATCTTACTGTTGTAGACCAGCGGGTACTAAAGAAGAGCCATGTCTGACACCAGCCAGAGCTATGGCAGAGATGCAGCAGACATTTCTTCTGCTTCAATGGGGCCTTGAGCAACCTGCTCTAGTGGGAGGTGTCCCTGCCCAGGGCAGGGGGGTTGGAACTTGATGATCTTTGAGGTCCCTTCCAACCCTAACCATTCTATGATTCTATGATTCTATTCAAAAGCCCCCCTATCAACCCAAGAGGAGTAACTTGCACGAAGCAATGTTGTAAGGAGGACGGTGTAATCCTGGCCTGGACACAGTGCTGACGGAAACATGTCTGCTCAACATCATTAGCTTCTTTCTCTTCCTGGTCTCACCTTGGCTGGACCACAAAGGAAGGGCTGGTGGACAGCCTTACTGACAAAGCTGAACTAGGAAACTGGGAGTGATCTTCCTTGTTACTTGCAAAGTGTGAGGTGTAAGTGTTCAAAGAAGAGACCAATTTCCTTACGTATCTTCTGGCAAATTATTTACTAAATTATAAATTTGTGACAGTTTAGATGTAAGCCTCACAAAGGGCTATACCTAGAAATTAGTTATATAGCAATCAGATCCATCTCCCAACTTGAGAGAAAGGCACAAATCAAACACTCCTTCCTAAAACCCTGAATATAAGGCTATTTCCTTAAAAATAGTGAACACGGAGCTAACAAGTCATCTGAGTCTATCTCCACATCACTTGCACAAGCTTCTAGAGAACTGCTTATAGATGAATGTCTGTCTGATCAGTGACCGTATTTCTCCGAGATGTATTCAGCTTGTTTCCTGACTCCCCACAAAGGTTAAAATTCTGTCAAGAGAAAACAGAACCAAAGCCCCCACCAGAAATACATCCAGTGATGTGCACAGTCCACACTGCCTTTATATCATAGACTCCAGGCCAAAGCACTAACCATGTTCAGCGGGGCTAAGGCTGTTTGTACACAAGGATGGGACAGGAAACAAAGCAATTTTAGTGATAATAACATGGCCCTTCTGTGACTTTGAAGCCCTTTTACGGCAATACAGATATTCCTGCAGTGACTCTGAGAAATATGATCCTGTTTCCACCACTGTCTGATGCCAGCTGCTACACCAGAGAACAGAAGAAAACCTGTAGTAAAGCGCTGTGGAGTAATTTGCACAACATCTATATCTTGCCAGTCAGGCATCTCACTTTTAGTCTAAACTATGTAACTTTAGGATCAAGTTTCCCATAAAGGCAACAAGGATTATTTTTTATGTTCTGCTGGTGGACAAGTGATGGCATAAGTTCTTACGTCAGGAACAATTTGTCAGTCTTCTCCCCAAACCCACACATAACATGGCTCTAGACTCTGTCCCCTCTTTAACCACAGAACTATTTTCTCTTCTTTTTCTGATTTAACCACACTCCTCTTGAGAACAGACATTTGATGATCATAGAAGAGACAGGTCTTAAAGTCTCCAACCTTTTTACTAAAGCAGCTAAATGATTCATGACAAAATAAATAAAGTGCTGTAATAAAACCCAGGAAATGTTTCACTGCATGTAATCTGAATGTGTATTAACCTGTGCTTTTTTTTGTTTTCTTTTTTTTTTCTTTTTTTCAAAATGCACTAATTGATTTTTCAAAAATATTATCCTCTTTGCTGATCAACAATCTCAGCAGCGTTTTAAGTTTAGAAATATTATTTGTAACAACTTAGGAGGCAGACAAGACCAATTCTGTGTTTGCTTTCTTTGGTAAAAAAAGAACTCATTTAAAAATCCTTTTAACGGGTTTGGAAATAATCAGACAACACCTTCCAGCTGGAATGGCTGAAATGCCTAGCGCCTCATTACTTTTTTCCTGAGCAGGAGAGCTTCATGACTGTCTTTTTTCTTTTCCCCGTAAGGATTAAAAGAAACCACCCATATACACACACAAATCCCCAAAGACTGAAATGAGACAACGAAGAGACGACTGCACGATATGAAGCTCAATTTCAGACCAACATTGCATACAAACTGCAAGCAAAACAAGTACTAGATGTGTATCTTACTGTTGTAGACCAGCGGGTACTAAAGAAGAGCCATGTCTGACACCAGCCAGAGCTATGGCAGAGATGCAGCAGACATTTCTTCTGCTTCAATGGGGCCTTGAGCAACCTGCTCTAGTGGGAGGTGTCCCTGCCCAGGGCAGGGGGGTTGGAACTTGATGATCTTTGAGGTCCCTTCCAACCCTAACCATTCTATGATTCTATGATTCTATTCAAAAGCCCCCCTATCAACCCAAGAGGAGTAACTTGCACGAAGCAATGTTGTAAGGAGGACGGTGTAATCCTGGCCTGGACACAGTGCTGACGGAAACATGTCTGCTCAACATCATTAGCTTCTTTCTCTTCCTGGTCTCACCTTGGCTGGACCACAAAGGAAGGGCTGGTGGACAGCCTTACTGACAAAGCTGAACTAGGAAACTGGGAGTGATCTTCCTTGTTACTTGCAAAGTGTGAGGTGTAAGTGTTCAAAGAAGAGACCAATTTCCTTACGTATCTTCTGGCAAATTATTTACTAAATTATAAATTTGTGACAGTTTAGATGTAAGCCTCACAAAGGGCTATACCTAGAAATTAGTTATATAGCAATCAGATCCATCTCCCAACTTGAGAGAAAGGCACAAATCAAACACTCCTTCCTAAAACCCTGAATATAAGGCTATTTCCTTAAAAATAGTGAACACGGAGCTAACAAGTCATCTGAGTCTATCTCCACATCACTTGCAGTAAAACCTTGGATTTTTCTGCAGCGAGAAAAACACACTTTCTGAAATGGCAATCTAAACCACTGGAATTTGTGGGGATTCTGGCTGCTGCGGGAGCAAGCAAGGCAGAAGCCTTTAATCCTCTCGCTTACAATAGCTCTTTGAATCTCTTCCAAAAATAAACACCTTTGCCAAAGCAGGGGGTGCCCTAGAGACAGAAATCAGCCTATCCTTGGCTAAGTACAATGCAAGTCCTGTTTCACAGACCAATTGATTTGCCAGTTGAGAAGCCTTATCTTGTACCTTCCTAGTTAAGGTGAAGAAGAGATTAATCAGTCATTTTGTCACAGCTGAGAAGTGTGAAGAACTTTTAACTGAAACAAAAAAGATCTATTTCTTTAATAAACTGTTAAGGGCTGGGCAGGGGCGTAGAAAAGTCTTCTGGTTTACATGCTAGTTTTAAAAAATAATCAATTTCTTTACTAGGTCATTTCTTCACTGCAGTTTATTACAAGATGATCTTCATATTTTATTTAAAAGCTGGGGGTTTTTTGCTTGTTTTTAAGTCGCCAATTGTGTGTAAAGTTTTCATGAAGACTTAAAACCCAGTATGTTTTGACTGAATAAAGAACAAAGATATTATTTTTATTACCATATTAGACACTCAAAGTCACCGTTTTATAAATATGTTCCAAAGGAAAAATAACTAAGCCCTGCTAAATTTGCTTCACAACACTTTCATTGGCCCCTGGAAACCCTTACCTTAGGCTGGAGCACAAACCACTCATCGGCCTGATTTTCGAAGTTCCAGGAATCAAATGGAATTTCTACCTCCCCAAGGAAGCTGTTGTGTCCAAATCTGTCATAGTGCCAGACAGAAAGCTGCAGGGTCCTGGTTTCTAACTGCGTGTGACTGATGACATACTACCAACAAAAAAAGAGAAAAGGAAACTCTCAGAATAAGCATAAATGATAGTTTCCATGGAGCCTTTTACAGCTCTAGCTCAATTTTGCAAAGCCCACAGCAGCTAACAAATGAAGCATGAAAAAGAGATTTGTTTTCTTTGCAAACAAGATTGATCTAGCTAGAAAGCTCATAAGGTTAATGTTAAACCCAACTCTTGTCTTTGCAGTATGCATCCAATTGTAATTAATATTACTATCATAATTGTGTTTTTTTCTGTATTATTTACTGAGTATTTATGGCTATAGAGTAAATTATGACGCTTAAAACTATGATCCTGTTAATTCCTTATAAGTTAAGGTAAAGGGAGCAGATCAACATCAAAGTTGAGTTTGTAAGAAGAAACCGGACTGGTTCTTTCATCCCTAAAGAGAGTGCTGTACACTGCTTTCTAGAAATAGTGTACTGTCCTTTCCAATTGTATCTTTGTAACTTATGAAAAATTGTTCTGAAAACAAGCAAAACTGCATCTGCAGAACATGCACCAAGCGTATCAGTCTTAGTAACCATTGTTGCTTTTGAAAGCTATTAAAAAACTCCTCTGAAGAAACAGCATATTCTAGCAAATACACAGAAAATTACAAGCATCTGGAATTCTAGCTCTGCACACTCTGCTTTTAGCAAAAGGCCCATTAATTCCCTGAAATTCACTCTTCTCCTAGTGTTAGCTGAAGAGACCCAGATGTCTTTTTTTTTTTTTTTTTTTTAATTAAATAATTTCATGTTTACCAAAAAAACTTTGTATCTTAAATTGTAGAAATTTAAGATACATCCTGTTAAAATGAGTTAAAGAGAAAAATGCAATGGAATTCCTAGATAAACATTTTTTACTTAATCCCAGCAATGTAATTTGAAGACCTGGTGATAATGTGTTTTAAGCTGGAAATCTTTTTTTTTTTTTTTTTTTTTTTTAACTGCATCAGGAACAACATCTGGACACAGACATGTATTCTCCAAAAGCTGAACCAGTCAATTCAGTTGGCGAGCCACACAACTAGGCTATACATCTATAGATATGTCTACAATGCTTAAACCTAGATGCCACAGTTCCACTGTGAAAGATTTAGCAACAATGGAATAACAGTCAAAGAGGGAAGATGCAGACAGGTATAATTATTTTTCTTTTCTTTTTTAACAGTAGTTACAGTTGGGATGAACAGATGTAGCTCTTGCTTGCTTGCCCACAACTGAAGTAAGCCTTTGTTACAATTTGCACTTTTAGCAAGCTGCTAGGTCCTATCCTCACTGAGTTCCCTACCAGCAAACATGTTTAGTGCTATGTTCCTTGC